CAGCGTCAGGCTGGGCACAACCTCCATCCCCGGGGCGTTCAGAACGCTCAGGTTCTACTGTATTGGACAGATTTGAGGACCAGGTACTTCTGCAGCCTGGGGGCTGTGTGCTGCTGGAAGGCTTGGGCCAGGACTTCCATCTCGCGGTACTTCTCCTCCTCCAGCAGGGGGTGCACGGACTCCAGGTACTGCAGAGACACGGCCAGCCTGAGCCTGGGCTCCCTACGGGGGGCAGTCTGAGCCCCCCCCCCCCCGGGCCCCCCCGCAGTCCAGGGCAGGGCTCAGAGCGGGTGCATGCTGCGTTTCAGAGCAGAGAGAGGATTCCTGCTTTGTGGGTCTGAGCTGCCCCCGGCCAGCCCCGTTCCAAGCAACGGCAGTTCTGAATGTCCCAGTCCTTTCCTTGGGACGGTTCCCAGCCAGCTCCACCCGTCAGGAAGCAATGCCCCCCGCCCCGGTCCCCAAGCCCTTCTCCTGGGAGACAATCCCCCAGCTCCCTGCCAGGACCCGCTGCTTGAAATCAGGCTTCGCATTTCCTGCATTGATTCCCCCATTTCTCCCCTTTCCACCCCCTGGAATCCCCCCGACAGAGCCGCTCCCTCCCTGGGTCCCCACCTCACTAGTTCTGTAGCCAATCGAGGCCGGGTTGGCTTCTCCCATTCCCACGCCCCCAGCCAGCCCCTCCGGAGCCTTCCTTTGCTGAACATCCCCAGCAACGCTCGGGGCCTGCGGCAGGACCAGCCCCGGTGGGGTCCCCACGCTGCACCCCGTGTGCCCACGCTGCAGGGCAGAGCTCCTGAGGGGGCCCGCTGGGCTGCATTTGTTCCCCTATAGACAGCCACCCAGCCCAGAGTGACATCCAGGGGTCCCCACGGCCAGGCCAGGGGGTCTGACTCACTCTGCTCCTGGCCTGGAGGCTGCAGCGGGTGGCCCCAGGTGTCTGTGCCATGCTGCTTTCCCTGGTCCCTAACACCAAGGACCCTGTGCTGTCCAACTGCAGCTCCCTGGAGCTGTCACTCCTTTGCTGCCCCTCCCCTGTAGCCTGCCAGCCCGGCTACGAGCCGCAGCCTCCCAGCGCCCTGCTACGCTGGCTCTCGCCCGGCGCCCCGCTACGCTGGCTCTCGCCCGGCCCCCGCTACGCTGGCTGTCGCCCGGCGCCCCGCTACGCT